ACACTTCTAGCCATCTGTTGGTCGATTTCTATAGAGTGTGTGTGTGTGTGTGTGTGTGTGTGTGTGTGGCTTATTTCAGTTTAAGATGGTGCAGTATTTAAATATAGTCAACCCGTTTGTGAAATTGCTTTGAAGACAACTTTTGCTTTTTCTTGAAAATGTGTATTATAAAACAAAGTGTATGTGATGGAGCTCCTTTCATATTTTTATGGCATAGGAAGATTCATCATACTAACTAGAATATTAGACTGCAGACATTAATTGAGCGATGCAACATTGATTTATAGTTGTCTGTAAACATGAAATTTAAGAGGTTGTTTAGATTGTAAGAGTCAGCTAAAGAGTTGAAAAGCACAGTAGTAGCTGAATGCATCCTTTTTTTCCACAAAGGGGCTGATCCTATTCCCATTGAAGTCAGTGGCCAGACTTCCAATATCTTCAATGGGAACAGGACTGATTGCAAAATTAGAGAAAACTACATTGACTTACAAATTCAGAAGTCATTTATATAACATGTTGTTGTTAAGGTTTCGTTTTATGTCCTGTTATTTTACATCTTACAACAATATACAGAACTGTTGGGGGGGGGGTATTTCTGTTGTAGAAATAAACAAGAGGTAGATATGTAAAAATAATTAAGAAAACATGGGACCCATGTTAAAAGGGAAATTGTTAATATAATAAGCTACAGATGAGCCAGTTGTTATCTTTATCGTTAAATGCAATTTAAAAAAAGGAGCAAAGCTTTTTCAATACTAATGAGAAAATCCAAACAGACAAATGTGTGCTCCTAATAATTCTCTTATTAAGCTAACAAAAGCATAGAAGCATACGAGGCATTTTGAGCTCTCCGAGGTCCTCGTTCCAAGAGACAAAAAGCACACCGGTAGTTGTCATCTTTGTCACTGTAATAAAAGATCCGCTCTGCTGTTCTCCTTGGTGGTTTAGGTTTCCCCTGCCTCATTGGTTATAAAATATGAGAAATGTTTAAGTTCTGTTGTTTGCCTTTCAGGTTTTGCCAAGATGGAAATGTCATTTTTGAAGCAAAAACCTGTAGCTCACCTGAAACGTTATAAATCTGTCTTTGTTAGAGAAGAGTTAAATCCTTCATGTTGAAATACTTTTCACTCTGAATGCTTTTGGTAGTTTGTTCATTCTAGCAAAGCACCCACAGTAAAGGTTATCTATATTACACCAATTTGCTTTATATTGCATCAGACCTCCAAAATGTCAACATATCATATATTTTATAATGCATTGATTCTTGGACAATAACTCTTACTCTTATTGTTTTTAAAAGGGTGTTGGTGCCAGAAGAAAAGAATGATTGATGGGAAACAGACACCAGGCTGTAGACACTCATCCTTTTGCTTCAGATGCTGATTTATCAGTGCGTCTAGGTATCCCTTGTGAGCTTTGAACACGGAGGATCACTCAGGGTTATCGACAGTACAAGTGAAGACCTACAACTTTGCTAAATTATTATCTGCTCTCGGACATCTTTTACAAAAAGCCCTGATAGACACATGATAAGACAAAGGACAAGCTTCAGATTTCTGTGAAAAGCTGTCCTTTGAATATGTTAGGCTTCCACCAAAGTCTTCAACTTAGTAAAGCAAGTACCATATTCTAACGCTTCACGTTCAGTTGTGGAACCTGTTTTATAAGATACATACATAAATATATGTGTACAATCTATAGACTGTCCTTAAATCAATACTGGTTATAATTATCAAGGCAATTTCAAAGGATTTAGAGATGTATTTGTCAAGATTCCTGTCACTTCATGCCCTTTGGGTTACTGTATCTTCAGTGATGCAGCATTATCCTTCAGTGTGGGGACATTATGATGTGTGTAAGACTCAGATTTACACAGAAGAAGGAAAAATTTGGGATTACATGGCCTGTCAGCCGGAAGCCAGAGACATGATCAAATATGTGAAAGTGACCCTGGATCCCCCTGATATAACATGTGGAGATCCTCCCGAGACCTTCTGTGCAATGGTAAGGCAAACTTTTCAATGCTTCTTTCCTAGATAGTTTCAGGATGTTTCTGTAATAGGCAGAGGCAAAGTGGAAATCCCCAGTTAAGATCCAGGCAAAGCTACATAATATTATGAGCTTGTAAATGTGAAAGGCTTCTGAGAAACAAAGCAATAAGAAATAAGCAATCTTCATTAAAACATATTAGGCTGTAGGATAAATGGTTCATTTAGTTAGAACCCAATGCTGTTTCAATTGAAATCAATGGCAATGCTTGCAGTGGACTTAAATGAAAGCAGCATCAAGCTTCTAGTGCACTAACCTTTCACCTAGGTGTCTTTGCATGGGTTATTTGTGAAAAAGAGTTTGGTGGCTTGATTTTAGTGTGTTCACATCATGAAACCACCATAATGTGGTGTAATTAGGCATCCTTGCCCAGTAGAAGCCTGCAATTAGAATACTTAAACTTTATTGCAGGTTTAAGGGGGAGGGTGCATTGACAGCATTTTCAAGGAAGTATGCACAGCTCTAACCATTGTTAATGCTTCTTTATCACGAGCCATAAATGTTCACAGTTGTCTTTATGGGCAGCATTAAAAGAAACACCATTAGCTAGGGTCTGATTTTTCAGAGGTGTTGAGTACCTGCATTTTCCTGTGACTTTAATTAGATTTGCGGGTGCCCAGCACTTCTAAAAATCATGCCCAAGGGTCTTAAGCCAGACTTTCTGCATCTGGGGTCCCTAAAATTAGAGGCCGATTGTGAAAATGTTGCCCTTGGTAAATAGTTGTGCCAGCTGTAAAGAACTAGGCACTATGTATGTGTCAAAACATTACACCTGAGTAAAGCTGTATGCATAAATGTTTGCCAGGTCCGATCCTAGGAGATTTTTAATGTTGGAAGAAATTTTCAGCTTGTAGAGGACTTTTTTCCTTACGTTATATAGAAAATTTATTTTCTCCAGTAGAATGTTAATTTCTGTTGAAAACTATTATTCCTTGATAGGAAAATGTAGTTTTGAAGTATAAATATATATGTTATACATGGTTCATTTTATTATGATATCAGTAAAGCAATAGAAATTTGTGTAATTTTAGCTAATAATTTAGCTCTGGGAAATTAATGAGTTCTTATTTATAAGTTTACTGTAAATTGCAATAAACTACTAAATATATTTGCTTGCCTGTATATTATCCGTATGGAGATCATTATTACTCAGTGACAAACAGGTCTATTCTGGGGAAAATTAACTTTTGAATAGCTTATGGCACCAGTTTCAACGCCCAGAACTCTTGAAGGTGTTCAGGTCCAATCACACACACATTTAGGATGTTGTATGCATGCAAACATACACTCACCACATACACTGCGCTGATATGTGAAGCAATTACATTGGTTTTGTACCTTTTGATTGTACCACTTGCACTCTGCCTACTAATCTCTCTCAACTAACATTGTTTCAAACAGACACCATTTTTATTTTAATAAACATAACTTGCCAGTGTAATATTTCCTTCTCTCTTCCTACTCAGGCTATCAGGTTGGGCAGCACAGCTACATACCACCCCTTCCTGAGAGCTGATTGATTTGTTTAGAATCTAACCCTTATTAATATAACTTTTAATTCCATTACTAATCCCTGGTTCATAATGAAACCCCTCTCAGACTTTTACCTAGGAAACCCCTAGTGGCTGCTGCTGTAGTTTGCATACAGAACTGAGATTGTTATGAACGTGTGTATAAAGCTGAAATGACAACATAAAAATATGATTTGCTGTTTGTGTTTAGACAAATTTGGCTGTCATAGCCCAATTCAACACCCCAGTGGCTTAAAAATGGTAAAATTATCTGCAATTATCTGCAGCCTGCAGCTAATTTTCTGGATAGGTTAAACAGAAGCTTTGAAAAGAAGCCTACAGACAGAAGAAGTCATCCGCATTTGTACAATTTATGGAGCAGAAGTGCTGATGACAGTAGAAATTCAAGCCCTAGAGTGCTCCTCTAGATTTCATAGTCAATCAAAACTAAATTAAGAAACAAAGATTATTAAAAAGTCTTCTGTGCATGTAATTCTGGCATAATATTATGAGGTGGACATTAAATGTTTCCCTCTGAGACTTTCAGCATCATTAATGCAGCATGTCTTTAATTACAAGTAGGCTCATATTACTAAAAAATAGGGGAAATAAAGTACACTGTGGTATAGTTAGCAATGCCATTATTGTGTTTACTGAAATAATTAAAAGAAGGGATATCATTCTTCTAAGTAACTTATAAGTCAAAATGTGCAATGAAAATGGAAACACTCTTATGTATGCAGCATAACTGAGTATAACAATTTAATGCAGTGGTATAGAAGCATTATTAAGTATAATTCCACCTAGCAGAATTCCTAGCAGATGTTATTGTGAAAGGCGTTTTTTTTCTTCTTCTTCTTCTTTTTTTTTTTTTTACGGATTGTAAATATTAAGGTACAAATTCTACTCTGTTACATCTGTGCTAATCTGTTAATAAGCGTGAGATTGTATGGGTTTATTTGGCTAAAGTTGAGGCTGTAGTGGATTGCTTAATGTGAATCTTCATACATGTACATTTGAAGAGACTATCTGAACGTGAAAGGTATTGCAGTCTTTACCTACATTACCTGAATTAATCCATCTATTTTCCATACCTTTTTAATGCTTAGGTTTAATTAACAGTAATTAAAGTTAGCAGTGTTTGCAAGGGTATCTTATGTTCAGATAACAATGTTTTTTGCCTTGGAATTTCCTATTTTAAGAAATATTTTATTATATAGTATAATAAAATTAGGAAATACACTATGTGCACCATGTGATTGTAGGGAACCTTTGCCAACCTCTGTCCCATCTTTCAGCCTCATGTGGAGACCAATCACAATATCACTTCTTGCATTCACTAGAGCATGAGGACTGTGCCAGGGTGAGTGGCTAGCCATTTTGGAGTGGATGAGAAGAAGGTGACCTTACACTTGTCCAACAGGTCCTGAGTTGGCTAACCAGTACAGGGACTACACATTGCGGCCTCATCAGGGATGATACAGAGGTGGCACTCCCTCACATGCAAAGGAACTCCTAAGTGGTGGTGTGCCTCTCTCTCAGCTCCCAATGTGGAAGTGCAACTTTAGTCTTATGAAAGAGAAAAAAGTAAATGTATGTAATGACAGTAGAAACAAAAGATGGCTTGGTGGAACCTGCAGGATGCTTGTTTCCTTTGCAATATAAAGGCAGCTGAAAAAAAAATCCTCAAGTCAAAATTTAAGACTCGGGTTATGGGGAAATCAGATTTATTTATTTCATTTATTAACCCATTTGAAGGCTCACTTGTCAATTATTGACAAGAATCTGTAAATTTGAATTTAGCGCCAAATTTACATTTTGTAAAAACAAGTTTTTACAAAACCTAAGCTAAGCAGAAATGTGCCAATGAAATTTTTAATGTGTTAAACTGTCTTTCTGTGGAAACAGAATTTTCTGAATCAAACCTACACTTGCAATGTTTGCACTGTCCTGCAATGTTTGCAATGCAGCCACTGCAACAATGTACCAAGTGCATAAACAAGTACTGTACAGTGTGTGTTAAATGTTTGTTTATGCCTATGTTTTTTGTTTTTCTTCAGTATGTCAAATTAACTGTGAACATTAGATTGTAGCTAACAACTCCCTTTACTGTCAGTAGATGGTTACTGCAATAACTGTAGATGTGAACAAAATAAGGAATTGTAGTGTCACCATGTAAACATTCAGAAGTAATAAGAAAAAATTAGCAGAAAATTATATTAGTGCTCTTACCACCTGGAAACAACTGTATAATGTAACAAGTTTACTAGAGAGATAGCGGTAGACACATAGATTTTCTTTGGTAGACTTAATCGGACAAGCAACATAATTCTTACTCAGATTGTCTTAAATACCCATAGGGAACTAGTTTCTATAACTAGAGTTGGGCTCTGTCCACAAACAAGCTTTCAACCATCTTTGCAACCTTATGAGTGTGGTTGGTTCCAAACATAGGGTACGTCTACACTGCAGTTGAATGTTTGAGTTTTGCCCATGTAGACATAGCTGAGCTAGCTTTAATCGAGTTAGCATGAGTACCAATAGCCGGGAAACCATGGCAGCAGAGGCTTCAGTGTGGGCTAGGGTGACCAGATAGCAAGTGTGAAAAATCGGGACTGGGGTGGGGGGTAATAGGTGCTTATGTAAGAAAAAGCCCCCAAAATCAGGACTGTCCCTATAAAATTGGGACATCTAGTCACCCTAACGTGGGCTAGCTGTCCAAATAAGTACCTAGGTTCCTGTATGGGCTTGTACAACACATGATGCCACAGCTTCACTGCTGTTGGTACTCACACTAGCCACATTAAATCTATCTTGCATATATCTACACGTGCTGCAGTCACACCTCCAAATGCAGTGTAAACATACCCATAGTTTGCATCCACATACAAAGAACTCAGTTCTTAGGTGTGGCAGCTAACAGCATTTCAACCTTGTCATGTGGCACAGAATTGTCTTCCGGTAACCAGCATGCTATTTTCTTTGCTGTGTGGGCAGGACCCTCCCACCCCCAATATGTTGGCTGGTTTTCATTATTCCCAGTTTTCTGCACACAGGACATCCCAGAATGCATGGTCCCACATATTGCTGGTGCAGCTCTGAATGCACTCTCTTACCTTCTGGGGCATTATGTATCATGGTGGGTATGGATTTGCAAACACAACATCAGTTTTAAAATAAATAAAATGTATTCCTAGTAAAATAATATTTATTTAAAAAAAACATTCCTGACAGATTCAATTCCATTCACAGTTGAATTATAGTGGCTCGCTGTCAATATAACTGTGTCAGGAATGTCCCCTGAAATCTTAATATCAGCTGTAATAAAACATATAAATAAACCCATTTCTAGTAATATACTGCAACCTGCACTGCTACTGCTAAGGTGCAATTGATCTTGAGGCGATGGCTCATGGATTCCAAGCTTTAGGGACCCCCTAAGAA